GGGTGTAGGGGTGGATGGTGTAGGGATGGATGGTGTAAGGGGTGGATGGTGTAGGGATGGATGGCGTAGGGGTGGATGGTGTAGGGATGGATGGTGTAAGGGGTGGATGGTGTAGGGATGGATGGTGTAGGGGTGGATAGTGTAAGGGATGTGATTGGTTAGGGGTGGATTGTGGTAGGGATGGATGGTGTAAGGGGTAGATGGTGTAGGGGTGGATGGTGTAAGGGGTGGATGGTGTAAGGGGTGGATGGTGTAGGGTTTAGTGCTTTGCCCTAAATGACATGGGCCATCCACAAGCCATTCAGACTAACAATACCCAAAGCAGCAACCTGATATTAACCCCCCAACCCTCAATCTAAACCCCTATGAGGCTTTACAGCGGGTGCTAAAAGCACCATGAGAACCCTCCTAACGTTATCCCAGCGGAGCACACGCTGCGCAGGAGGAGCATCCGACCGGAGCAGGTTTGATGCCCCAGGCATCCGTCTGCTTTCCTTCTTGGCACGGCCGCTGCAGCCCAGCTGCAGGCCAGTCCCAGGGCTGGCCCACATGATGCCTCTTTGATCTGCACATTCAAAGCCAGCGGTGGTGACCCGGTTCCTCCTCGGGCGGAGGAGGCCCTGCTGTGCACAGAGGGGTGCGGAGCAGGTAGGGAGCGCCGGGAACATATGCCAGGCATATGCGGCCGTTCCCCTGCATGGTTTGCCCGTACACCTGCACTGCTGTGTATGGGAGCATCCCATCGGAGCGGGGGTCCCGAGCACAGGGTCCTGCACTAGTGTCCGGCTCCGTGGTGTGACCTCCAAGCCATCAGCATGGGGTTTGTGTGCTTGGATTCCCTGCAATGGCACAGCGGCCGTGGGGATGTTTCCCAAGGTGGAGTGGGGTCTCCAACACAGGCTTTTCTTCTCACATATGCATTGGTTTGAACTGGCTCTGGGAGAATGAAATGGTTTAAAGTGGCAGTTCCCAAATTGCAGTCCCCACGTGGCTGGTGGGCTGCGAGGCCACAGCAAAGCATCGTATTATGCTGAGAAAGAATCACAGACTGGTTTGGGGTGGAGGGGACCTTAAAGCTCATCCAGTTCCAACCCCCTGCCATGAGCAGGGACACCCTCCACCAGAGCAGGTTGCTCCAAGCCCCTGTGTCCAACCTGGCCTTGAACACTGCCAGGGATGGGGCAGCCACAGCTTCTCTGGGCACCCTGTGCCAGCACCTCAGCACCCTCACAGGGGAGAACATCTAATGTCTCATCTAAATCTCCCCTCTGTCAGGTTAAAGTCCTCATCCTGCCCTTGCAAAAAGCCCCTCTCCAGATTTCTTGTAGGTCCCCTTTAGGCACTGGAACTGTTATAAAGTCTCCCCTGATCCTTCCCTTCTCCAGGCTGAACAAAGAAGACAAGTGCTGGTGCCAGGGGCACTGCAGACACTCTGAGGGCTGGCAGTGAGCCACTGCTCCCAGACACTTGTGACAAGGCTTGGACCACTTTTCTTTCTCCTCTGGTCCAAGGCTTTTGAGGCTGCTTGGTATCTTGCTGTAGGGTTTCCCCAGACCAAAGTGCTCCAGGGAAAACAGGGCAGGGAAGGCAATGTGTGATGCTGAAGTTGTCAGCAGAAAACCAACTAATCCCAAGTATTTCCTTGATCTTAGGAGACACCTGCTTCTAAAAAGCAAATTTAGACCAACACAAGTCCTTTTTCCTTTCACTGCCTGTCACTTTTCCTCAAGGGAGGATGCTATAGGAGGGGGATGTGACAGTGAAGGTTGCAGCAGTGGGTGCAGCGTGTCCTTCAGGACCAGGATGGGGTACTCTGTGGGATAAGCAGTCACTGTGGGCTGCATCTCGGTGTTAACAATTAGACTGGGAGTGGAGGGTAATGTCATGAATCTGGCTCCTGCAGACAATGCTTTGATAAGCCCTGACGTACCAAATCAGCCCTATAAAAATCTACAGAACACAAAATGTTTCATGTCTCCATAAACGTTCAGCCATATGCTGGTACCTAAAGCCATATGCACACACAGCTGATGTGCTGCAGGGGGTGAGGAGGCTGGGAATGGCCTCAGACAAAGAAAGCAGGAGGCTCCTGCTCACTGTCTTGCTGCTGCTACCCTGGCATCAAGCCCCATGTGCCCCACAATGGTCATGGGTGGTTGGGCCAAGCTGGTACCTCACCCAGGCCCCTCTGGATAGTTGGAGTTGCATCCCTGCCTTTGCCTTTCCTCCAAGCTGAAGGAAAAGGTAATTTCCCCTCTCTCCTACCTGCCCCAGTGCAGTGGTGGAGGGTGAGGATGGTCTCTGTGCATGTGGTGGTGGGCTGGGAGCATCCATGGGGCTGGATCCAGCCTGGTGCCCCTCACCCTGTGCTCAAGCCCCCCTTGCTGCATCACTGCCCTGATGCAGACACGAGCTGCCCACTGCATTCAAGACCTTTGTGCTCCTGCTCTCCCCATCCCTGTCCTCCATCCCTGCTGCCGCTCTCCTCCATCTCCCTCTGTCTCTCCTCATCCCGGAGATGGCCACCAGCCCCTTTGCTTTCCAGGCTGCAAGAACAGAGCCAGAATTCATCCTTGAGCGCTGAAACTGGACACCATTTTATCAGTGGCCTGGAATGGGAAATTGGAGCCTGGGATGAGAGAATTGAATAACTCGACCTTGTTTTCATTTCATGTTTAATTTCCTGCAGGCTTAGCTCAGTCTTTCCGCTCCTTCCACCAGCCTCCCAGGGTTTTATGGGGGAAAAGGGATCAAGATATATTACTTCTTGCTTTGCTTTGCTTTTTTTCTTGCCCTTTTTTTCCCTCCAAGGCGGTGATTTTGCTACAACAGAGTTTGACGTTTCCCTCTCACTTTCAAGCATCACAGGGTCACCGCCGAAAACATTTCATTAGTGGTCCCAGCCATCATCACAAGGCTGGCTCCGAGGGGAGCTGGATGATGGGTTACATTCCCTGGCTACGAATCCTCCTTCCAACCCCTTCTCTTTCTCCACTGCCGCAGGGCAGGCCAGGAGGATACTCATAGCATAGGAGAGATGAGCAGCCAGGGCCAAGTTGGGCTTGGGGCGTGTATGTGTGTGTGCATGCGAGGAGCCATGTGTGAATACATGTGTGTACCATGTCTCAAACCATCTGCTGCAGCCCTGGATGGGCTGGAAGAAGCTTGTTGTTGGTACCAAGCAGGAGGTCTTTCTGCAGCCCCGGACATGAAAGAGGAGGAGAAAAAATAAGGGATATACAGTACATGGGATGGCTTACACATGGCTCCCACTTCTCAAAACAGGGATGTGCAGTAGCTTAATAGCACTTGGCAACAAGGGGCTGGGCTGTGAGAGGCGGGCAGGGAAACACTGCAT